GACGACGTGGCAACAAGCCTCAGGTGTTGAATCAGCGTAGCGTGGACCCCAACACTCTGGGCTTAATACCCATCAACACCCTGCCAGGCCCTCTCTACGAGCCTGACTTTCCAGTGGCTAGGGTCCCAGATAGAGGAAGCTACGCAGGATTCCCGCATGATAATTCTCCGCTCACCAACAGTCAGTCGACTCCAACGAGAGCGGCTGGCAGCAGACGTCGAAGCAACACGCTGCCCAATCCACCCACCGTCAATCAGCTCGATCATGGCGATTCGCAGTTTGATGGTAAGAGTGGCCTCAGACTTGCGCCCAAACTTTGGCTAACGAGATGATGTAGAATCCTGCGCTGACTTTTGCCCGTCCACGCCTGGCCTCCATCAGAGCATCGACATTCAGAACCGAGCGTCATCGGTCGTCGTATCTCAAACATTGTCCGACGACGAGGGATCAGCCCACCGCCGATCTACCTTTCGGCAAATAGAAGATCCTCACACTCCCATGAGGAAGGGTAGAGCCCGCGTATTCACTGGAAACCTACAGCCAGTGTCTGAGACGAAGATTGTCGAGGGGTTCAGGTCACCTGATGGTTGGCGTCGCGCCCCCAAACGAATTGCCGAGAGGGTGTTGAGCCCCCTATCATACAACAAGGGACCCGAGAGAAAGCGATCGATGAAGAGAACCGAACAGAAGTCCCGAAGCGGAAATCAGAATCAGCGGGCCAAAGGCAGAGATACAGTGGCGGGTCAAAACGCGCAGTCAACCATGGTTCAGCATATTGTCAACATTGCCGACAGATTGAATGGCAAAGAGGCAGTTGCCACAAGCGACCAGGATAGCAACGGAGAGGATGACGAAAGACCCAGAGGTTACACTCACAACGCTTCTGATCATGTTAAGACTCAACATCGATCCATGGGCCCGATGGAAAAGAAACGAAGAAGCGGCATCGCCCAACTGCAGAACCAGCGTGAAGCTAAGAAAGAGAAGAAACTACCCATTGTGTCTTCTCCGGCAGAGAAGTGAGTTGATTCAAATGCTCCGGCAGCTGGTAAGTATGAAAGCAGTCGCAATGAACGTGTCGCATACGCCACGGCTGACATTTTACTTAGCACTGACAAGTTGCGGCAAAGACATGTTGGAAACGAGAGGAACTGAAATTATGAAGTGACTGGAGTTGAATATGTTGGATCAACCCAATTGCGTGGCCGTGTACGGATACGGATTGGGACGGTTGTTGGAAACGTTGAAGCATGAAAGAAGAAGAATTTTTACCCCTTGTCGGTATACTGGCGAAGACCAGGGTTGGAGAACATAGTTCTAAACAAGAGTCCCCATAGGCATTCATGATAGCAATCACTCTCTACTCCACGAACATCGCAAGTCCTGAGCGTAAAGAGCATACCGTCTCACTTTTAAGCGTCGCCTTTTCAGATTATATATATGAGTCCTCAGGACGAGAAACCGACAAAAAGTGAATCTCGCATCATCAGAAACATCAAAAAGGATACACAGTGCCCAAGGCCAGAATCGAACTGACGATCTTCTCATTTCGGACCGGAGAACCGGCTACTAGTGAGACGCTTTACCACTGAGCCACTCGGGCTTTACCTGTGTGATGGAGACCGGAAGCAAAGTGGAATATGATGGCTGTGGGTGTGGACCGGGGCAGGGAGACCTAAGTCGTGGAGGCGTGTGGGTTGGTTGCATCGAGAAATCAAGCGGGGCGGAAAATTGCAGATAGAAAGAGACGACGCCCGGATAGGCAACTCAAATTCAAACAAACTGGAGCGGGTCTTCGTTCGGATCCGAGCAGAGGTATGTGGGAGAGGACGGGAGGGGAGGATCCAACTGCGAGTCAAGTAACGGGCTGAAGTCCGATCAGCCCATATCAAACCTTAATACAAAGAAAAGCCGTGCTTATGTTAATTTGACCGGGTTTCTGTGGTGCTGTTTTTGGGTTGTTGGGTGGTTTTATTTGAGGGGGATGGATGATTTGCATGGAACACTTCCAGAAACTGGCCCCCAAAAGAGAGGGACCCTTGAATTTGGTCCTCGTCTTGATGATTGAAGCTGAGAAGCTGAGGCTGGAGCTGAAGCTTCCACCAATGATAGATAGACCGAGCAATTTCGACTTTTGAGTCTGAGATTGATGCTTCAATGCGGCCCGTTTGTACGTCAACCGTGGTAAAGCCGGAATGAGTAGATCGAATCCACCCGTCAACATCAATCCGTCCCCTCACTTAAGGTATGTGTTGATTGTATGTGCACGACTTACACGATTCAGACGACGAGTTTCAAGACACGAGAAGGTAAACCACGGCCTTGACTCTTACGGTAGCAGTCCAGCTTCTTTTCATCCTTCTGTGACTCTGGAATAGGATAGATACAGCAGAGATCAACGCGATTAATTCTCCTACGAGCCAACGCCTTGTATATCGGCCAATATACATCAGACAGCAAAGGGTCAGACCCAGCTGAAAGCTTAATTCATGGCCTGGTATCACTATCGACAGAACTGACTTGCATGGCCCCCCGGGACGTGGAGAAGAGCAGCACGCAAGAGCTATGTGTTGCCCTTGCTACACACGGACTGCACTGCAAAACGAACTCTTGGGCGAGAGATGGGAGAGAGGTGAATGAATCGAACATGTGGGGGTGATGGTCGTGGTGGTTGGTGGTTCTCACCTCGTCTATTACCTTGGTGTGCGTGTGTAACCTCCAGAATATCGAGTCTCACCATCACTGACAGCAACTACAGACGGAGAAAAATACCGGTTACCTCATCCCATCCCGCGCATCTGCGACGTCTTGGCCCTGCGCTGCGGGCGAACACCAACACGGCACACACGCGCAGGTTCGACGCCGGGCCTGTAATTTGCCATCAACACCCGCCCGCCACCTCCGGCACGGCGCCGGTTTCTGGGCTGAAGCAGTCAGGGCAAGACAGACATTCAAGACATCCATCTGCTGCATATGCCATCACTGCTTGGTACTAGATCCACAAATATGTCTGTCTCTCTGTCTGTCTCTCTCCCCGCCCCGGTCCGAATCCAAATCCAAAACCCAAATACACGTCCAAAATGAGACATCCCAAACCCTTTTCCAGAACCTGTGAACCAGACTAAACCACATCCAGCCCGTCCCAAGAAACCTCGTATTGTGTGAAAGCCGCCGGGAAAGCTCTGTATCCCAAACCCAGATGCCCCACGCGCCTGTGCCGTCCCGGAGGTAAGCAGGCCCCCTTACCACTCGGCCCTCCGCGCCGTCTCCGGCGCGAATCACCACTCCCCCATCCCCCCCGGGCCACGAACCAAACCTGCTCACCACATTCAACATGCCACACAGCCTTCCCGCGATATCCACACTGCAAAAAATTCCCACCTAACCCTTCAGCCCCCAAATCATTCAACCCCGGGGCTCTCAAACACCCCATCCATCCTCCAAAACAGGAAATTTAGCCATGGCTACTGCACGATGTAGGTGACAGAGACGAGAGGCTACCTAGCGAGAGACGGGAGAGTGAGAAAGAGAGCCCACCAGACTGAGACAAGCCTAAAGCCGCACCTCTCCGCCGCACCCGAATGCCACCCTCCCGGTAGGCCGTCGTCGTTGAGGCGGCGGCGGCGGCGACGACGACGAACGACGACGACGACGATCTTCTCGTACGGTGCGTGTGGCGCCCAGGACTGGACGTGACAGGCACGACGTCGCGGTCATGCCAAACCCCCAACATCAGAACAATCCGAACTTGAACACCCCAGACCCCCTGCTTTGCGCATCTCACCCAGGATAAAAAAACGTGTCAAACGTACATACATCAAGAAAGGCACATGTCATTCGTATCACAACCCCCCCTAACCCACTCACACACGACGTCCCGACTCCCCCCAGCACAGCCTCCTCCTCAGCTACGCTACGCTACTCTACTCCCCCGAACCAGAGTTGCACAGTCTCCGGCACCGAATTACACATTCACGCACATCTCACCGTTCGTCATCCCATCCCCCTTCCCCAACCTCGAACGGGGCGGATCCCCCGTGCTTCTAGAAGGAAGAAACCTTGACGCGATCGACCTCCTTGGCAGCATGCAAACGCGTAAGAACCGACGCATCTCTTCTGGAGAGATCGTCCCTACTTCCTCCCACGGGCACAGCACCTGGGCGGAGCCGGCGCGTGTATCGGATTACTATCCTCACCCATCGACCATCCTCCAGGGGGGGCTCGTTCTGGCTTCCCCTCTTTACACTGCAGTAAAACGCATCTGTTGTTCACACAAGGTCTGGATGGCGCGCATTTTCAATGAATGGTGAATAAAACAATGCCAAGAATCAGAAAAAAAAGAGCTCCTTTCGATAGCTTTCGCAACATGTCTCTTGTCACACGTAGCAGCTGCCATCCTCCTCTTGTATCCAATCCCGTCAAGTAGTGCTGTTGGTTACACGTTCGCTCTACAGCTCATCAGACCACCTCCCAAGCCAGTGTTGACACCGTAAATGTATCCCCGCTTACACCCAGCGTAAGCCCCATCCATACCCTAGGTCTCCTTCCTCCTGCCCCTCCTCCTCTTCCGCCTACCAAATGGACAAAAATATTCCAACAGCTTCGAAAAAAGGATAGCTCCGGTAAGACGGTTCCCGGTACAGTGTGTCGTTCGTCCATGGTCTTGGGAGCTCCTACATAAAAAAACAATATTGCTCGGATCCACGTTTCGAGTTCGGACAGCCCAGGAACAGTTGCGAGACGAAACACCGTGGAGAGACCCCGCCCAGTCGAACCCACACAATGTTTCCGCGACAGGTATTCCAAAGCAGTCGTGTCTTCCCCTTGCGCAGCGCTATGCAGGTAAACCCCAACTCCGGTATGCTCTGGTCCATTTGAGCTTGCAGCCCCGCATCCCACATACGGCTGCTTTTCCACTCAAGATAATTCGGATGGGAAATAAGTTAAATCATTGAAGGATAAGGGTACGCGTCGATGGTGATCAGCAGTGGTATCGCCCCCTAGATGATACCACCTGGCGGATCGTAGCCAGATGCCGCTCCCCTTGCCGAAAGCCCGGCACTCCCTGGTTGTTCTGATGATACATCGACTTGAGCGTTATTCGTCTTCCGTAACATAAACATGGGCTTCTTGCCCTCTTTGTCCAGCTGCTTGAACAGGATGAGGGGCTTCTCTTCCAATCCTAGACAGCGCTCTTGATCTCCGTAGACAATGTAAAGGGCGTACTGATCCCAAGGCGCGTTGATCTGGTATTTCTTGAGCGCGGCGGGCAGCACTTTGTAGCACGGATCGTCCATGCTGACTCGGAAGGACTTGAAGATTTCGACGGATGCGTTGCTCGTGCTCGGGGTGTCGGGGGCGGGCGTCGGCCCACGTTTCGGAGCCACGGGCTGTTCGCGGCCTCTGTAGCCTTGATCGTTTTCGGCGAAAGTAGACCTTGTTGACGGGGTCGGCACGTCGGAACGGTAAGATCGAGAACCGAGAGTCGCGCCGCCAAGGGTCGGAGGGGACGTTGGAGAGGGCATATTCGGAGACGGGTAACCAGGGGAAGTAGCTGTGGCCGAGCCATTCATGGCAGCCAGATGCGACGAGGACAACACAGCTCTTTCTGCTGCGTTGGAAGGGTCCAGAGACTGCTCCATCCTTTCGTGAGTTGTCTGCAAATGCGACGGCGATGTGTTCTTCGGCGTCGTTCCCAGCATGATTCTCTTTGTGGAGTACTGTCTCTTGAGACTCATGGATTGGGTGGAGGAGGGTGTCGGGGCTGGCGGCGAAACGGTCTCGTATCCGTAACTCTGATTGTTGTTGGTTGACACATTCGGAAGTGGCTGTGACGAGTCCTTTGCCAGCCTCAGAGCCGGCAGCATGTCCTCCCGCAAGCGTCTGAAATCGTCTGTCAATCGACGCAGATCCTGCTCGACCAAGCTCATCCGTTCGTCGCGCAGACGGAGCTGCTCAACCAAGTGCTTGATATCTTTGAGGGTTGCTGTCGCGTATTGCGCCTCGGCATCGGCGGCTGAAGAGATCCCAAGGTCAGCTAATCGGGTTTGAGAACGGAGCACAGCACCACCTACACAACGGCACGTAGTGGTCGCTTTCTATGGGAATGTCCTGAGCCTTTTTTACGTCGTAGACGCTCTTTAGAATGGTGAGGCGATGGCCAACACTGGCAATGCCCATAGACTTGAGGTCGTCATGCTGCAGAGCGACCAGAGCCTCGCCGACGATTTCGTTTTCTGTCACAAAGGTCAGTCAATTGTCACGTCACCCTCGGAGGGCGACGGGACAGGATGGACTCACCAGCAAAGCGATCGGCGTATTGTGGCAGGCCAATTGTGCTAATAAAGTCGGCGCACTCATCAGCGGTCCACTCGGGGATGATGGTCTCGGGCAAGCGGTCGGCGCTGCTGCGATGGCCGTAGGTAGTAGGGGTATGTTCGTTTGAGGAGGGCAGCTCGGAATCGATTGGCGATGCTTCGCTGTTGGTGACTGGAGAGTTGGGCCCAAGGCTGCGCTCGTATTCGTCGTCGGCGTCCGACTCCGCGTAGGCGGTGCCTGAATCGAAATTCATGGCTGGTGTGGCCGTCGTGGTCCTCCTCGTCGTTGTCGCCGTCGTGGTCGTCGTGGTCGGCAGCGATGGGGAACAATGCTAGTTGGTGTGCAGATGGACAATGCAAAAGGAGATTGGCGGTTAGAGAGACAGCGAGAGGCTACAGGAGAAGAGACAATGGAAAGGAGGAGAAAGGCTGGATGACGAATCGGGATGGTGTCGAGAAGCGCCGACGGTGCCCTCAGCGTGAGGAGTCGGTCGTGGCGGCGGCTGCGGGGGCCCGTTGCAGAAGAGATTGGAAGTGTGGGAGCAGTACACGTTGGAGGCGTCGGGTTGGCAGAGGAGGAATCATGAGCATCGAAATCAGAAACCTCGGCGTGAAGTCGTCCTCATCGGCGTGCAGTCGAGAGACAGCGTTGGGGGAGATGTCGCGAGGCTCGATGGAAGGCACGCTAGGTAGACTAGACTGCAGAGGTAGGAGGACAGGTCAGGTCGAAGATGGGATCGTCGTTCGGGTTCGGGCTGAGGCGAAAAAAAGGTGGAGGAAAGGACTGGCAGAAGCAGGCACGGGATGGGATTGGATTGAATCGGCTTGGGAGGACGAGTTGGCGGGCAGGTACACGGCCGGTGGTGTTGGACGGCGCATGGAGCGAGGTACCTCAGGAAGTACTTGGTGGAGGTACCGAGTATGCGAAGGTACCCAAGAGGCAAGCAAGGCACTGGTAGGTAAGGTACGATCTGGGATTCCGACCTTCTAATGGTGGTGGTCTGCTGCTTTGAGGGGTTCCAATGCCGCCTGCCCGCCGCTTAAGGTACCTTGCCTTTAGGTGTGCCCTGGTGCTGCTACCTAGGAATTGCTTACAGCGCGCTGCTCCTGCTCCTGCTCATGCTAGGTACTCATGCTAGCAATGCGCTCGCTGAACGAACAGCTCCCTCACCTCCGCCCCTCCACCTGCTGCTGCCCACCTCAGGTGCAGGGCAGGCGTGGCGTGGAAGGGATCCAGTTAGGGCCCCAGCAGTACTTCTGCCCGCCATCCAGTGACAAGAGCGCCCTGGTGCCTGTGCCAGCCCGGTAGCAGCAGCGGTAGCGTAATAGATATGGATGGGTACCTTAGCAGAGACCTTGGCCGAGCCAGGGCCAAGCCCATGACCATGCCCAGGACAGGACCACCACGGCCACGACCAGGACCGGCCCACGACTGGGATGCCACCCTCACCTTCACTCAGTTCAGGCTTTGGGGGCTCTAATATGCAGTACCCAAGTACCTTCCATGCTCTGCTGTCTGCAGTGGACCGGACTCTCTCACGCACACGACAACCGAGGGGCCCTCCTCACCACCCTCACCCTCCCCCTCTGAGGTGGGAGCTTGGAGGGGACCCATTTGTCTGCTCCCGTGCTTGTCTCGAAGTAGCCGCTGGGCTAGAGGCACTCCATGCGTCGTGAAGCTGTGGTGTAGCGATGCTGCCGTGCCAATGATGCTATGCCTTGCTGCGTTCCATGCTCAGGGAGGCAAGTCTCTTCTTCCATCTATCTACCTTACCTTACCTTAAGGTAGGCATCATGTCAATATCGCTCACTTTTCCATAAACATATAAAAACCTCATCGGCCTAATTACGTTACCCATCCCTTACCGAGCTGAAGAGAAGGGGGGGAAACTTGCAAAACAAAACAATATCCGTCCCCAATATCATCACAGCCATGCCAGCGAGCCATGCACCACCCAGCCCGGCCCATTACCGCGGCCCCAACGCCTGTGTTAGCGCCCAAGGGGGTCATCCCTGCGCCCACGACGCGATCCAATTGCTTGCTTGACATGCTCCCCCAGCCTGAGAAACTCTTACACAGGCCTCAGCCATCAAGAGGCAAAAACCACCCAAGGCAAGGTAGGCACATACAGACATATATATGCTTCATATTGCTATGCCATGGATGTAGGGGAAAACCCTCCCCGGCAACAAAGACAAGACAGACAAGACACGGACAGCTGTCTTTGCTTCTCGCTCAGAGACATGCATTGACCTCAGAGACACTGGCATCCATCCCAAACACGCGTACCACCACCATCTGCTGCGTAGTATGGGCTTTTGTGGGAAGAGACGTCGTTGGCATGTTCCAGAAGGCAACCCAGCCGCCGTCGCCTCCGTCCTATTGGATCCTGCATGTGCCACAGTAATCAAGTAAACAACGGAATAAGAAAATAAGGGGAATCTCTGACCCAGAGAAACAAGAGATTTTGACGGCATCCAAAATGAAAAACGGCCTGGTCACTCGGTAATTGGGACCGAACTGCCCAGCAGTTGCCAATCGCTTTCCGTCCTCCGGGTCCACTCTGTGCACCTCTCGACAGTCGATGTCCGTACCTTGCACCGTCCCGCCTTGCCTTCCGTGCCTTGGCCTTCCTTCCACTCTTGTAAAGAGAAAGTGATGTGTCGTCTCCCTCCCGTCCGTGTTTAATGACGATTCTCCCATAACTTCCGGCTTCAATCTCGACAATTCGACCCCCCCACACAGAACACAGACTGGAGACTGGACGGACGACTCCTAACAAAGGGGGGAACAACTCAAAGAAACAGACTCGGGAACCCGCTTGAAAGAGCCATGCAGTGAAGTCATTATCAGATGCTTTTGCCGTTTTCCTTTTTGCTTTACCGTCCAAGCACTCGCACCCTAACCAACCACGTCTCTCAATTTGCAAATGCTGCCAAGTCAAGGTATGGGTTACCTCTCCATCCAAAGGGCCCAACCTGACTGACTTGCTTTCCCAGGTACCTCGTCTCTGCCTCACCCGTCGCCCTGAAAGAAAGTACCGCCGCAGGGTGCCCTTTGTGTCGCCCGGCAAGAGTCCCGACGGTGGCCTCCGCACCTCCTCTGCCCAAAACGGCGCCTCCAGGGTTGATACTGGTTGCCTTCCATATGCAAACCCTTTCCCAGAAACACGCCAGCTACCTCATCACCTTGCAAGCCCGCTGCTTAGTTGACCAAGACTAAGAGTAACACCCATTGCTCCATTCATAGCTTCGTTCTTGGGATGCTCCCCCAATGGGAAAAAGAAAACTCCCGACTGGCCCCCCAGCAGCATCAGCACCGCCCACGAAAGCTCCAGCTCTCCTCCCAACTGGCTGGCCTCGACTGCTCCAGAGACGCACAATGACAGAACCGCGAAGCCTTCGGGTACGCGGCCCTCCCTCTGGCCAAACGGAACGAATCCCACAGTTACGTTTCGAACGCGCCTTCGACGGGGTTCCGTCGTCCCACGCATTCTAGACCACCATCGCCCACGCTCTCACCTCCAGCTCTTCCCACAATTCCCCAGCTGCTCCATCTAACATCAAGATCGGAACCAAAGCCAAAACGCAAATGAGGCATTTATTCCAAGTCACTGAGAATGCAATCTCTCATATTACACCTCTCGACGACGTGAGCGACTTTGTCAAGTCGACGCCGTCCATCATTTAACATTATGGATCGGCATCCACCCCGCCGCTGCAGCTTGACCAAGCTTGTCAACGACGCCGCCGTCTTGGCACTCTATGGCAAACTCGCGACAATCACATCAAGCTACCACCTGCAACCCGCTGGACCCCCAATTTTAAAAACAGAAACCCTACAAGGCTGCTGAGTCTGTCAAGGTCTGATAAGCGGTCGCCGGCCTCGAGAATGACAGTGATAGCAACAACACCCTTGTTGACCCTGCGTCGATCATCCTCGGCTTTCTTGGTGTCTCTTTTCCCAGCTGCCGCGGTGTCGACTCAATGTGTGCGACTCAAAACAGACATTGCCATCTTCTCTACTAGACCAAGGTTGTTGTTCATCGCAACTCTTCTTTTTTGGCCGCGGCACAGCCACTTTCTTGTTTCTTTTCGTCTCGTCTGGACTTTCTCCCAGCTGAACCTCCTTCCTCGGCTGTAACGGCCGAAAAGGAAGGGGGAAAGTGTAGACGCTGCCCGTGATGCCCTGCATCGCCAGATTTTCTTCAGGAAATCAAATTAATTGAAGGCGAGGCCAAAGACACCCGTGAAGGATAACCAAACCCGCCTTCAAGATGCTGTTCCCCAACTCGTTGTCTGGGTTTCAGGCCCCATGCCGACCCATCCGGATGAGACGTTCCCAAAAATGTCCAAGTAGGCCCTTTCACGAACGTCTCACACGCCAGGGCTAAGCCGTTCCTCACCTGGCTCGCCCGAACCAACGTCCAGCCAAAGACAAGCTCACGCGCGGATGTTCGCGCGTGCATAGGAAGACAGCCATCCGCCAGCAGTGGGACGAAGGAGAGAAAAAAAAGTTGGGCCTAGTATCCAGTCTCCCGGTTGTCAAGCACCAACTTAGACCCGAGGAGGGGGGGAATGCCATCTTCGTCGTATGATTCCGGCGAGCGCCCTCGTTTCTCAGACCATTTCGTATCTGGACATCTTCTCGGAGAGTCGGGTCCCGAAGGAAGCGACCTACCTCCTGTCATCCCCAGCGTCCATGTTACCATTTCACCTGGCCCATGCGACTTCGTCCTGGGGAATCGCACGACATCTCACAGCATTTCCAATTCCTGCCAGGGACCACAACACGAAACGCAACCTTATCGGTCTCATGATTCTCAATCTCCAGACGAGGCAAAGGGAAATTTCGCGATCAAACCCACCAGATCTCAATGTTCATCTCAAACTTTGAACCCCCGTGCGCCGTAAACCACCATCCAGAGGTTCTCTCTCCCCGTAGTACAGCATTCAACTCTGTGTCGAGCCGGAATTGCCTCCGAGACCTTGCTGACTGGTCGGCCGCTCCCTTCTTGCTTCCTCCAAAAGATCCCATCTTCATTTCCCAAGTGAAAAAAAAGCCCGAAGCCCCGATCGCCGTTCCTCTCCCGCCGGCCAACAAGCGCACGATCCTCTCACACTGGTTCGCCAACGCCACGCCGTCTCCCAGCCGAACCTAAATCGGCGCTGCTTAACTTCGCCGGCCCTTTCCGCCACGGGCAAAGACTCGACCTGACCGTCGCTGTCCGTCGTGTGTCCGTCACTTGCGTGA